AACTTATCATTACATGCTTGTTGTGAAACTTTTAATTGCATTCTTTTTTCTTTTTGAGACATCATAATAATTTTCCTTGAATTTTCTATTTCTCAATAACTCATTTTTTTTATAAATTTAAAAAATCACATGCATTCTCAAAAGTTTTACTTCCCCCTCGTCTTCTCTCACATTAAGTGCCATGTAAGTAAATTTTTTTTTTAAAAAAAAAAAAACTTGGGCTACTTGCTAATGTAAGGCGAAAGAAGTTGCTTATAAGCAATAAATAATGCTACCCATCCTAATGTGAACTACATAATCGGATGCGCAATATAGAGTTATTACATGCATATATATTATAAACATCATTAATAATTGGAACGTGAGTGCACATGTAACTATATATATTGTAAGAAAAAATCCCACAAATTTTGATTATGTACTTAACTTGTAAATAATAACATATTTTTATAAGAGCTAAAATATTCTCCCCAGTCGGATGCACGAATCCGTGCTTATTGTTTGATGTCATTTTTTAAATGTAAAATTGGAAAACCATGTTTATGATTAAAAAAATCATTATATTTACACTTTTAATTATTAATTTCTAATTTATTGAATTGTATTTTGTCGAGGACTCAATTAGAGAGGCAAATGATTATAATTATTTCTTAATCAAATTTTAGTATAACAAAAATAATTTATTAATTATGCATATATGGTACATATATTTAACGTAAAGTATGCAGGTGGAGTAATCAAAAAGTTTGCAACACCCTGCCCATTTAATCAATGGCAAAAGCGGTCATTAATGGACAACATGTAGCATCGTCCACATCCACCCATTTTGATTTTATCCGAATTATGCACCCGACCCATTTTAACATCATTCGCTATTACAAGATTTTAGTAATAAAATATACTACCTCCGGTTCTTAATATAAGATCTTATTTGACTTTTATTTTGGTCCTAAATATAATATCTCAATCCACTTTATCTCTTATATTTATGTATTTTTTCCCAATGTAGTCTTTTTAACAATGGTATTTCTAGCTAATACATTTGATTAGTAAAGATATTTTAGGAAAAACAACACTTATTTATTACAAATAACTAACTTAATTTCTTTTCTTAATTTCCTCAAATTAGTCAACTAACTTTTACAATTAGGACTGGAGGTAGCTGTATATATTTCTAATTTAAAATTTAGTAATTTTTAGGCTTCTTTTATAGCATGTTTCCCTTTTAAAATTACACATCCTTGTCCTTATGAACAAAACTTATGTGTTGTGTGAAATTGCCTATATCTATTTAGTCAAGTTCATTGGTGAATGGATGAAGTATATATCTCTCCAATTTCATTTGTAAGTCAATTATAATATTTTTATTTGAATTCAGAAAATTTTTTAAAGCTTGTTAACTTTGTCTTAAAAAAAAAAAATTCTATTGTTCCCATGTCAGACATATCTTTAAAAAAAGTTTTCAATGTTCGTAGACAAAAAAATTGAATAGGAATAAAAGATAAAAATTGTAATAAATAATTAATGTAGTAAGTGATGTACTAGGTCAATTACATTACATTTAAATAAGTGATTTAAAGATTGAGGAAAATAGATTTAAAAAAAAAAGAAACATGTCGTTGGGGTCTCTTTTTTTTCAATTAAAAAAGGCATAAGATATCAGCTTCACTAAAATTTGTAATGCAAAATTACAAACTGTTTTTTTCCTTAAAAAAAAAATCAGTATGTTTGGCCAAGGACAAAAATTGGAAAAGATGAAAGATATGAATGATTATCGCTACTAAGGACAAATATTTGGGACGAAATATATGCATTACCAGACAAATGAAATGAAATATATTTTTTTTCTCTTATTTGTTGTTTCCATGTGTTATATTATTCATAAATTAGTGATGATAAATCAAATGACATTTTATTATAATATTTCTGTAAACAATGTGATTAATATTATGTTTTTTCTTATAATTGATTTGCAATAATTGAACAACATACGATCGGTCCTCCAGATGGAAAATGAGATGGAGGAAGAGGATTAATTTCTTTTTCATTTCCTACTCAGAAAGAAAAAGATTCTTTTGTATGATTACTGATTAGGAATCTAGGACTTTCATTTCTTTTAATTAATTAGTCTATTTAATGCAAAAATGAATAATTAATGTTGTTTTTATAGTTCTTCGTTATTTATTGTAGTTTTTATTATTTACTTCTAAAATTCTTATACCTTTCAAACAAAAATTGAGATCTCGTGCAAATGTACGAAAATATAATAATTTTTCCCTTTTACTAAAAAAAATAGTAATTTTTTCCCTACAGAAATAAAACTAATCAATATTTTTTTCTTGTGTTGCAAAAATCGTTAGACACACGCGCGTGTATAAATGACCTCTTGATGATACAATAATTTTTTTAAAAAATTAAATTATTCAAATAAGTATATTAATAAACTTACTTTATATTTTTTGGATAAAAAATATAATTTTGCACACGTTAATTATTTGCCAAAAACACACATGCAATAAATTATTGAAAGCCAGTGTTAATAATTAAATAGTACAGTGTTTCATTTGTTCGATTTACTGTACAAGTACCTAACGTATATGACAAAATATTAGGAAAAAATTTATAATATTAAAAGACCTCGTGCCAATGAAATTCTCTAAATTTATTATGAAGCAATCAACAAAAATCAACTTGCACTAAAAAGACAAATAACAACTAATAAATATGGCCCTTATATGTGTATGTCTGTGTGTGTATTTGTACATATGACTGTAAGCATAAGTAGAAAAAAAAATATTTTTAATAAAAAGGGCAAAAAAAAGAAAAGAAAAGTCCTTGGCCAAAGCTGCCAGTAGTTATAATATATAAAATAAATTGATATCATTTGTATTACGTTATGCATTTTGTCCCTTTTGTTTTGTGTTTTTTGAAGCCAAAGAATATTAATCATGTACATAAAAATCAGAATGAAGAATCTGAAGTTTATAAGACTCAACTACAAGATTGCATTTATTGATTATTTTTTTCTTAATTTATAATTTTAATTTCTAATATTATAAGGAAATATTTTGAAATTAATTTTGTGATATAATGTCTTATATGTATAGTTAATTATGATTAAAATTGTAGGTTTTCTGGCCAATACAAAATTGTGCACATAATCTCTTACGTAAAGAATTGGTTTCAAGCATGATATGAATTCCAATAATTTTTGTCCTTACTCCTTAGACGTAAGCGAATGATACTTATTAAATAATAATAAATTGTTGAAAATTTATTAAAGTGCGTAAATTGTCTAACATAATTTAAGATAGCTTTATAATTTAATGTATTTGAATATAGTAATTATTTTGAACTTAATATCTTGTATAATACTCCTCCTGTCCTTAATATAGGACCCAATTGTTAAGTTAGTTTTGGTCTTAAATATAAGATCTATTTTTCATATTTATCAATTTTATCTAAATTATCCCTATGGATACTCTCTCAACCATAATCAAGTAGAAGAGGAAGATTAGGTATTAAGAAAGATGATTATAGTATTTTTATAAAAAAACGTGTCATGTTTCTTATAATTAACTAACTTACCTAACTTCCTTAATCTAATCCAATAAGTTAAATGGGTCTTATATTAAAGACGGGAGGGGTATTATTTTTTCTCCATAGACGTAAGGCCCCATCTAATTTAATCCTTGGCAAGGGGGCAAGAGGTCTCTCCTCCACACCACTAGAGTCGTAGAGCAATGGAATCCTAAGGAGGAAATGTGTGGCATAAGCTATATCATTAACCTACCCATGTTTCTCCCTTTTTTGATTTATCACTCTAATTCCTTTAAATTCCATTTCCACAATACTACCTGTCATTGTTATTATAAAATTTAAATAGTAAATTTGTGAATATTAAAAATTAGTTAAATTAATTATTTATAATAAATATGTGTTGATTTTTTTAAAATATATTTTTTAAAATTATGTGGATGGAAGCTATCTTTAATGAAAACTAGTATAAATGAGGCAACTACTGGGAATAGGAAAATAAAGAATTTCACCCCAAGGGGGCAAAAACCAAAGCGGAAATTAGACTTTGGAGGCTTCCCTCAAAATGTTACATAATTAAAGAAGGTTTGGTGGTACAATGCTTGATGGGTCCTTCTGTACCTCTTGGGTGACCCATTCCACCGTTAACTTCCTCCTTGGCTCCATCTCCTCTCCCCCACCAATTTACTTCTTCTGATATTTTTTTCAAAAAGAAAAAAGAAAAGAATTTATAATAAATCAAAAATACCTTTTTTTATCTAAATTTTATTGTACTAATACTTCCTGAAATCATTATATTATTCACACTTTCTTTTTTTAAAAACAAATACTAGTAAATTTTCTCCAGGAGTATAGAAGAAAATGATGTAATCTTTGGGAGAAATTTGTGCAGGTTTTGAAAATGAAAGAGGAGAATGTCTAATTTAGATCAACCAAGGAAGGTCATGTACCTTCATCTCAAAATTAAAGTTAAATTTATGTGATTTTAGTAAAATTAAAAGAAAATTTAAAATTTGTTCTAAAACTCAAACATGTATAGTCAAAATATATCAACTAATTCCCTCCCAGGGAGGTTAACTGACTTTTTTTTTTCTTTAAAAAAAAAAAGGGAACACTACAGTATAACCCTCACTTTGGATGCAAGACACACATGTCCTATAATTAATTCACACATGTACTATAATTAATTTCACACATTAAAGAATTAAGAGATACCCCTGTTCTTTTTTTTTTTTTTTTTGCCAGCCAATTAAGAGACACTATTCACATACATCTTCCCTCTGATCTGTGGTAGTAAATTACAATTATTTACTATTTGGGTAAAAACTCTAAAAAAAATAAATACACGTGACCGTATAGGACCGTATCTTTCAGGATCTTTGCTCCCTATCACTACATATAAGCCTACGCTTCTCCCTCAGTTTCTTCTCATTCTTCTCATTCTCTCACTTTCTCTCCCTACCCTATCCTCCTCTGCTTCTCAAGCATTCTCTCTTTCTTCCCAATGACGAATCAAACCTCCACTGAAACTACAAGTACCAGTAACTCTTCTCCTTCTGCTTCTCTTTCTTCTTCGTCTTCCTCATCTGAACTATCCAACCCCAGTTCAAATTCTCAGGCCCAGAAAGCTCAATCTCAGAGCAAGCAAGAAGAGAGCAGTACTAACAGAGCCAAGAGAGCCAGAGATCCTTCTGACAAGCATCCATCCTACCATGGGGTTCGAATGCGAAATTGGGGCAAATGGGTCTCTGAAATTCGGGAGCCTCGCAAGAAATCACGAATCTGGCTCGGCACTTTCGCTACTCCAGAAATGGCGGCTCGAGCACATGACGTCGCTGCTCTGAGCATCAAGGGAGAATCCGCCGTCCTCAACTTCCCTCATATAGCCTCTCTGCTGCCCAGACCCGTCACCTTCGCCCCGCGTGACATCCAAGCCGCCGCCGCGGAAGCAGCGGCCATGGTGAAATTCGACTCTGCTCAGCCTTCGTCTTCTCCTTCTTCGCCGGAAGAAGCAGAGTCCTCGGAGCTGAGTGAGATAGTGGAATTACCCAACATTAATGAAGAGAGCTTCGATTCGGTTGAGTCATCATCGACGAGTAGTCATGACTTTGTGTGGGTGGAATCCATGGATTGTTGGGTGTATGATCCTCCATTAATGGGGTTAGATGAACAAGGCTTCTTTGACCAGTTTTACGGAGAAGAAGGAGGCTTTGAGATATCAATCTGGGATTAATGGCGGATTTTGATGACCCTGCTGTTGTTGAGTTGTTGGAGGCCGGATAATTAGCTACGTGTCGTGAGAATATATTTACTGTAATCGACTTCACTTGTACACTGAACAATTCTGGAATGCTAAATGATGAGTTTGAGTGAGTTATACAGTGAACTCCAGAATTTATCAATGGAGGGTGACGGGCATTTCTGGGTCATACACATTAGGGCTTCTTCTTCTTCTTCTACTTCCTCTTTCATTAGTTAGTTTGCTTTACGATAGTAGAAAATCCAGAAAAATGTGAGTGACTGAGTGGCTGCCAAGAAATCAGAAAACATTATATCTTTTTTTTTTTTTTCCTATTTCTCATTTCTTGTAGATTTTATTTTATATGTTTGTATTCTCATTCATATATATTAATAAATTATTTTTTGATAGAAATAATCCTATATCCATATTTTCGGCTAATTTTGATTTGCGTTATGATGATTCTGGGAGAAAAACTATCCAAACCTATTGTTCTTATTCACATAACTAACTTGAAATGTCAGTCACTTAAGACATCGAAATCCTTTCCATTATTGATGATTAATTGCTATATCCATGATTTAATATGTGCTTATAATTTATGGTGTAAACGTGATATAAATATTTTGATGGTTACGGTTTGATTACTCCATGGATAAAAACTTATAAAGATATTTATACAATAGTACTTCTCTGATCTTTAATGTAAAACTTAATTATCGAGTTAATTTTGATCCTGATTGTAAAATCTATTTCTTATATTTATCAAGTTTTTTAATTATATTACTCTTATTGATAACCCATCAACCATAATCAAATAAGAGAGGGAAATGATATTAAGGAAGATGGTTATAGTGTTTTAGAAAAAAATGTCATATTTTTTTAATTAATTAACTTATATAACTTTTTTAATATAATCAAATTAGTTAAATAGGTTTTATATTAAGAAATGTATGAGTAGTTTATAAAAATTATTACTCATATATTTAACCCACAAAAAATAATTTGTTTTTGGTGGCACACATGGATCATTTGAAATGGTTAATTGCTGATCATAAGAAATTATAAAATTTCAGTGAAAGGATTAAAGGATTAAAGTATTAGGAATTAGGAATTATAAGTAAGAAGTAAACTCTTGAATATGAAACGCACATGAATATTTAAGTATAACGTAAGTTAGTGACTCGTTTATAGTTTAATAAATTATCTCTCATTGACTCATTTATCAATGGTCCTCTCTTTCTATGACTGTACTTAATCAAAAAGTTAAAAATTAATTAATAAAAATAGGAATAAAATTAGCATTAGGAGAACCAAAAAAAAAAAAACAAGCTTCACCATTGGATCTGTCAACTGCAAAATAACAAATGATTCCTTAAAACGTGTTTGATATATATATATATAAGTTTGGCCCCACATCATGATGCATACTTTGCATTTTGCAATATTCTAAATATTCTATTAAGAGTTGGTGTTTGTTTTGTAATCATTTCAATAACTAATTTAAAATAAATCCATTTTATGTTAACAAAGTAATTCAATTATATTCGAGTTTTTTTTGTGCAACAATTTGCGTTATTTTTAGATTACAACTGAATATATATCTAAATATATGCACCCATTTGAACTTTAATTAATTCTACTCGTTTAGACTGAGAAGAATATCTCTTTATAATTTGTACAAATCCCAACTAATCATTAAGTTAATATAAACAATTTCAAGTGGTTGATTATGACTTATGAGCACAAATTACGAATATAATATATATTATTTCTGGCAAAGCAGACTTTAATATAAATGGTCGGTGTTTAATTTGTGCATGGTATAAATATATTTTTGTGAGCATTATGTATATTGAACTTGATTGGCTAATTAAGGGAGCAAATTTGACTTAACAAACGTACGTGTCACATAAGTGAATTACTTTGCTTGATTGGATGGATTCACAAACATCGAAAAGTAATAATTCAAAATATAAAAGCTTTCTGTTATTAGAATCTCGAAAAGTGATCTCGAGTTCTTCCATGGATAATTGAATCTCGAATTTTTCAGTCAGGCCCAACTTTTAATTTCATATGATCTTATTTAATCATGATATAAAAATAATATTAACTCCTGTCATTAATATAAAATATATTTTATAATTTATTGTTTAAATTAAGGTATAAACTAAATCCTATATTAAACGCTCGAAATAGTATTTTATGTAAAATATTGTGTGTGTTTCTCTCAGTTGTAAAGATAAGAAAGAATATTTCATCGAAATGAGAAAAGTCATTATCTTTCTTAAATGTGTCACAAATTGAAAAAAAAAAAATTTCACGAATGTCCTAATTTTTTTTCCCGACATATTTTATTAAAAGTAAAATTAAAAAAAATCTTAAATTTTATTAATCTTGTTTTAAAATTTAATAACTTTTTAATTTTATTCCTGTTTAATACACTATATTCTATGAAAACAAATTATGCGCAATAATAATTAAAATTAAAATTATATATATTCATAAAAAAAAAATTAGTGATGTAACTTATAAATAGGTCTCCTCATCTTATAGTAAACACGAGCAAAGAAGTATTAATTGCTACTTGTAATTTAATGAAAAGTGTAATTGGAATAATTTATTAATTTTTAGATTTTTAGATAAAACCCTTTATTTAAGAAAAGGGAGCACATTACATCAATTTTGAAACATGATCAAACATTCGAATTTCAAATTCTCAAGAATTCAAATTAAAAGGTCCATAGCACCAAGAAAAATGCATCTTCTAAGGTTTTGATTTTTCTTTGTATGTTTCAATTCTTTGAAATATCGGACACACACTCACACACACACTTATGTGTTTGTAAATGCGTGTGTGTGTGATGATAATGACAAAAAGGTTATAATTCTAAAGATTATTAGATTTGTACATTTCTCTTCGCCAACTGATGGATGATTTGTCGTTGGCTAAAAAAAAAAAATGATAGATTTGTCACATTATAATAAATAATCATAATAAACATATATGTATTTTCTGATGCTAAAAAAAAAAAAGTAGATACTAATATACTATGTGCTGACAAGAATATTCCAATATATATAATGGAAAATTCTATTTGCCAGACAAATGAATATATATTATATTCTATTATATATTTTAAAACAATAAACGTGAGTGCATTTTAAATTATTTAAATGTTGTCAAAATTGGATTTTGTGAGAGCAAGAGAAATTTCGTGGAAGGAGAAGTGATTGGTTAGGTAAACTAAGGTGATTCATGCCATGGTTTTGTTCCAATTCAAAAAAAAAAAATCAAACGAATTAGGTATATTAAAGTCAAGTCAATAATTAAATACTCCTCGCCAAATGGGAACACCATAAGAATTCTATGTCGAGTTTTTTAACCTTCACCTTTTGAAAATAAAAATAAAAATTAAATTAGTTTTGTACAAAACTTATAGGAGTGATAATTTGGGGTCATATATATATATATATATATTGATATTTAAATTAGTGTAGCCCTTCTCTCTTTTGAAAAATGAACTAAAATACATTTGAGGATCAAGTTTTAAATCACTTAAACATATATATAACCATTTAAAAATAAAATTTATAAATATTAAATCATTAAGAATTCTGATTTTTTTTTTAAACTTGATTTTTTAAAATTTTTTGTAAATTTGAATGGGTAAATTTGTTGAATCTCGTGGTCGTCCAACAAGTGAACAGGTTATGAGTGGTTGAAACTTGAAAGCCAACAATAATTCTTTCTGCCTAAGAATCCCAAAAGGAAGTTGGCAAAACAATTAAAAAAAAAAGGGGTAAGGAATAACATGGAGAGACTAGAGACAGCATAAAAGTAAAAAGGAATGTCGAATTTTCTTACAGCACGCAAGTTAGGTAGGAATGGTAAAGAAAAAAATAATTATTAATTATTATGAAATCTACAATTAGTTTAAAAAAACATATATTAATTATATCGGCGAATGGAAATTGTGGTTTATATGTATCTTAAATATCATTCAAAATATAATAAAGGGCGAACATTTAGTCAATATGGTACGTCAGAAAAGTAAAACCTTTAAGTTGTTAGAAGCCAATTCCATTTTTACACCATTAACTATGGCTTCATTTTTATCTTTTTTCTTCTTTAACTTTTCTCATTTGCCATTATGTGCTTAACACATGTTGTGTTTTTTTTTCCCCCCTTTTTACGTTTTCCTTTTTATATAAAAGTTCAGGTAAGTTGAATTTTAAGAGTCTATTAAAGTTGAGTAGGTTTTGAGACTCAATTAGTAGTTATAATGGTAAAAAAATTAGTAGTCATAGAACAATTTATCAATTACTCACATATGATATTCTCGCATTTACAAAAGGATTAAAAACCCATAATTTTATATAATATAAATTGCATTATTATTAATCTCATTGAACCAAATTAAACTTTATTGCTCAGATTGTGGTTTTCCAACCTTTTGCAATCTTATCCGTTGGTAAAAGTAATTCTTGCTTTCCATTGGCCCCAAACAAAAATCTCGCTATCTAGAATACATAATCATATTGGGCATAATGCTCAGTAAATATTTTTATTTACGGAAAGGCCAACAAAAAACAAGTCCAAAAACAATCAATGCTTCATTGAAATTCTCAAGTAGTAATAATTACAAATATGAATCAAAATTAAAACGTGCAAATATAGTCTTTATATTTTCCAAAATATAATAAAAAATTCTCCAATTATATATTTCTTCCCATTCTTAATAGTAAGAATTACTACTTAAATAATTTGTATTCATTGATATAAAAGCTAGTATAATTAATTTAGATACATTAAGAAAACTAAATAAATTACTTAATTCTAACAAAAAGAAACATGATCTCTTTAAAATTCTCTTTTGTAACATTAGCTTGTTCTACCTTTGTTTTTTAATATAAGTTTCAATTGACTAATTTGAAAAGATTAAAAAATTATTAAATTACTTAGCTATAGCATATATGACATAATATCTCTAAAATATTTATATATGTATCATCAGATTATATATTAATTTATAAATGAGTCAAATTAGTTTGGAGAAAAATAAAATATAAATACTTTAAAGTAATTTAGTAACTTCTTTAATTTCTCCAAATTAGTCATTGGGTCTTACATT